ACGCGGGTCGTGGAAGGAAACACTCAACAGCACATAGTTTTCGGTGACCACGTGCACACGCCTATGCGGTGGAATTGCTGGGCCATCGGGCTTGTGCATGTTCAGCTGAGGTAGATACTGCCACACACTCTTCCAAAGTGGGGGCACCTCACCGATAACTGGTTAATTAGAAGAGTTGGGGTCTTTTCAAGAATTAGTCTATTTAAGTTCAGCCCTTTAATCTGCAGTCCTGGGAACTTTGCAGCTTTCCCAGCTTCTGCTTCCCTGCCTGGTCCACTCCCCTGGGGTGGATTAAAGGAGCAGCACAAGGATTTGCTCCTGCAGGAGAGCACCCCGCTACCCCAGCCCACCACAAGAGAGATGAAGTTTGTTATCCAAACTGGTGCTAAACTAGCCAGCACTTTCATTTTTTATCATGGCAAACTAGATTAAAATCAACTATGTACGTGGGCAGATTTAGGGGCTGAACGGCCCCAGGAGAAAGCAAATGCATAAAACACAGATGCTTTTGGACAGGGCAACCTTAGACAAGATCCATTCAAAGGTTAACAAGTTTTGAGTAATGCAATGCAGTTCACTCTGTCTGGTTATAAAGAACATACCAGTTTACATGCCATTCTTTTTTTAGTTTTTATATCTTGTGCTAAGTACACTTTTCCAAAGGCCCCCCGAGGAATGAAATCGGAGCCAATATTCCTGTAAGTCAGCTTCCAGGGGATGAGGAGAACATCAGAGTCTATTTGATAGCGTCCATTTTGGGGAGTGATTACCTACAATAAATAAAAATGTGGTAAGGTGAGAATTCCAGCAAAATCCTTTTCTAAGACCAGCCCTTTAAAAACTGGTTACTTTAGATTGCATTCCTACACACATTGTCACTGTGTGTAATCATAACAGTGTACAGACTATATTTAGAGTTTCAGCCAAGACAGAGAAAGCATGTAACAGAAACACATCCATCCCTGGTCAGATTTCCATCTACTCAGGAGTCATTAATTGCCAAACAGAACTTTAAAAAATGACTTATCTAAGGGAGCATGACTACTGTGTCCAAGAGGCTGAAAATAAAGATTGCATAAATATAAACTCTGCCAGCAAGTTGACTTGCTCCCAATTAAAATGTACTAACCTGTTAGTCCACATAGCTATTACTCAGACCTGATGCATATAGAGAGAGTGTGGAAATAAACTGATGATCATGGAGGATTCTGGAAAACAATGTGTTATGCGAGGGCTATGAGTTGACAGTGCTACCTAAATAAAGTAAGGGCGGAATTATTTCTCATCTACTTACTCATTTAATATTTACTGAGTGCACAGTATGTGCCAGGCACAGTGTTTGGGGCTGAGGAGGCTGCTGTGCAAGAGATAGAGGATCCCTAACCTCCAAGAGTTCATGACAAGAGATTTTGAAACCAGTCCACTCAAAAATTAAGGGATATAGTCTGACAGTGGTGTGGGTTACAAGTGTGTGCATTTATCAAAACTCATCAAACTGCAAATTTAAGATCTGTGTGTTTTACTGCATATAAAGTCTACCTTGATTTTGAAAGAGTAAACAATTAAAAAGAGAAATAATTAAAATTAAAACAAATTAATAAGGCAGTCCACAGGAGCTATGACCTGGTTTACAACATGGTTAAAGTGTTCTTTCAAGAGATAAAGTGTCTCAAAAATACAAGTTTTTCTTGCAAGTATAATTAGTAATAATAGGACTTCAGATTATGAATCTGGGAATTATGAAACCATCAAAGCAACATCAAGCTCTTTCACATACAGACGAAGCAAAGGGGGAACTGCAGTCCACAGGAGGAAAGAATGGACACTTGATTCATGTGCAGGCACAGGGGGCTCCTCACAGGCCTCTGCTCTGGGAATGGTTCTAGTAACTGTCAGGGTTACTCACTCAGTCTCCACTCCACAAGCAGATGTGGTCACTATTAGTCAGGGAATGAAACAGAACTCTATACTTAGACATGTGAAGTCAGTAAATTGAAAAATTAAATATTTACTGAGCATGTCCTCTGTGCAGAATTCTGTGCAGAGCTCTAGAGGGAAAATGACTAAGGACAGACCACAGGCTCGGCTTGTTTGAAATATGACCTCCTTTCAAGAAGTGTGTCACCTCAAGTTACTGGGGGCCTCATTTTACAGCAAAGAACGTGACGAATCCAGTCCCCTTCCACATTTAGACAGAACTATGCTCACTGCATTCAATCCTACTTGAATATTGCCTTTCTTGCCATTAAATATTTACAGATCCAATTTCACTGTAGCCTCTCTGTCATCCACTTCAGTGTTTAATTCACGTTCATGAAAGCTTTACTTTTGTTTAACCAAAATTTGTTTTAATAGGTTTTGACTCAGTGTCGTTTATTCTAAGAGGACAAAAAATAATAATAGCAGCCATATATTGAGTGCTAATTATCCGCCAGGCACTGTGCTCAGTACTTTACCATTATCTCATCAAAGTCTCACAACAGTCCTACGCAGTAAGTACTATTTTTATCTCCATTTTACAGATGAGAAAACTGGCTTCAGAAGTTAAGTAACTTACTAGTTAGTGACAGAGTCAAGATTCAAACTTGGAGCTGTCTGTCCCCAAAGCCACCACTCCTAGTCTTTGGATAAGAGCCTTTTATCTTCCAGGAAGCTATAATTAAAGCTGAGCCATGATCAAAACCCAGTTATTAAAATCCTATGTTTACATGTCACTGAGCACACCTTACCCTCTTTGGATCAAATCCTGCAAGTACCTTCACCTCTATGTCACAACCTCCCACATTCAGGGATCCCCTCTGAATGTCTCTCAAGTCCTCCATGGCCACCTGTGATGTACAGAGTGATAGGCAAGTGCTGCCTTCTTTGCAGTTCTCACAGTCCCTGGTTTTTCCCCAGGCCCTAGACCTTCCCTATTTGGGTTTGAGATGTTTTCCCCGCTTCTTTCCAGGGGGCTCTACCAAATAATCTTGTGGATCTTTGTGCTGCTTATCTCTGCCAATTCTTCAAATGATCAAAGCCTTCTTCAAGTGCAGACATTATAAGCTCCAGATCACTGTCACAGATACCAGATAACATGGGGCCAGGAAAAACACTTCAGAAAAATCCTTAGGTACTTCAGTGAAAAGAAATTCCCTGAGGGACCTGTGTGATGTGGCTGCTATGAAATAGAGGCGACCTTGGGCTATATTAACCGAGCATAGTCTCTAGAACAGAGGCACAACTGGCTGGCCACACCACAAAAGGCCCGCCGTGTTCGTGTTCGTGTTCTGGGCTACAAGACAGGCACAGCACAGGCTTGACTTCAGAGGGCGATACCCAGATGATGATGGAAGCTGACACTAAAATACATGAGAAGTAGAAGATACAATGAGACGTGTTTGTGAAAGAGGAGAGATGTGGGGAACATGCAATTTTTAAAATATTGACAAGATAGTCACAAGGAAGGAAAGTAACAATTATATACAAAAAATACAGAAATGGCTTGTGTTCTTTCAACACTCACTATGTGTAAGCAGGTCCCGTGCTTTCATCATTTGTTCTACCAACAATCCTAGAGTAAGTGCTGTCATGTTACCCATTTTACAAATGAGTAAACTGAGGCATAGAGGGGTGTGATAACTAGTCCAAGGTCATATAACTAATCCATTTCAGAGCTGAGATACATATGCAAGAACTTTAATTAATGAGCCTGCAGTCTTCACCACTCCTCATCACATATATCTTTTGATGGCCAAAGAATAGAAATAGGACTAAGAAGAGTCAGAGATGGATTTTAGCTTTATTGAAGAAAGGACTGTCTTACAATAAGAATTGGCCAAACATGAAATTAAATGCCCCACTACATGATGAACTCTTCATCAGAGGAGATTATCAAGCATAGACCAAAATCCTCCAGCAATTATTGGAGATGATGAATTGGTGGGGGGGGGGTGATCCAAGCTTCAGACAGAGGAGAATTTAACTCAGTAACATTAAGGTTTTCCATCCCTGAGAAGCTTGGACCCCATGACTAACCCTGAGGAACAGCATGCAGAATCTCACACCCACAGCTGGGCCCTTCAGCACCCTATCACCAGAGTCAAGTATTTGAAAACCATTTTAGGTTCTTCATCCCAGATCAGGTTATTATGAGTTGGTCTAGATTATAAAGTTTATAAATAACTTGTGACACTCTTCCACAAAGCAACCCCTATGATAAAGTTTCTTCCCTGGTCCTGCCGGAGGTTGGTGTAATCTTTATGAAATATTTTTAGGAAAAGAACACACACCTGCAAAGTACCATTTAACATGCCTGTGCTTCAGGATATTTTTGTAATTTCTGTTCCTCCACCCTCATTAACTGATTAACTCTACAGGCATTGTGGTGGTTGGGTGCCTGGAAGACACCATGTTTCTATGTCTCCAGGCCTTTGCACATGCTATTCTCTTCATCTGGAACACTCTCAGCTCCCCATCCCCTTCATCTGGCTGACTCTAACTCAATAACTTGGGCATCAAGTCTCCTTGGAAGCCTCTCTGGCAATCTCCTGGCCAACCTACCCCATCTCATGGCTGTGTGAGGTACTCTGCCTGACCATCTCCACAGCAATCATGATGTAGTTGTATTGGGAAGTACTACACTGCATTATAATTGCCTGTTTACTTGCCTCTTACAATCACCAGGCAGTAAGCTACCAAAAAGCACAGTTCACTACTGTATCTCTAGCATCTAGAAAAGCACCTAATATACTGTGGATATTCCAGCTATGTCTAGCATTCACTTGAATGAAAGCATTTGGTCCATAGGGAGATATATTTATAAATAGATCTTACCATGGAACCAATCTGTTTGGTAGGTAATTAGCTGTCGTTTTGTAAAGTAGAGAGACAGACCAGCAAATGAAGCCCAAAAGAAAAAAGTTTTGACAGAGTGTTAGGGTGAAGACCGTGGGAAGAGAAAGGTCTTGACCACAGGATGGTTCCAAGGAGACCATGATGGGAGGATGAAGAGGTGCTAGAAGCAAACCTTGCTTCCTATAGCATCTCACTCAAACTAGCTATGATCAGGAATGGAACGTCATGATTTCTATGCCATTATTCATGAAACATAGAGCTTTAATAGGCTATATAGCAGGCACAGGGATTTATCTGATCCTTAAGGTCAGTGACAGGAAGGTCAACCACAGCCCCAAAGCCATCGACCACTGAAGCACAGTCAGTTCCTGTAGATTTTAAGTTTTTCCTATTATCCTGTTTTATTTTTAAGTCTTCTTGCTTTATATTTTATAGTCTTGATCATTTTTAAAACAAAAAATCTTTTTAAAGTTTTCAAGATCCCTGTCTTCAGATATGTCCTATTCTTAAATTTTCTCTAAATATAGATTTGTTCATTTATAGGGTATAGGCTCGATGGCAGGAAATGACATTTTACTCTTACCCTTAGTTGATCTACAATTTTCACTTCCTTTAAATGTCCTAATTTCTCCTTTTCTGCATTAGCTTTTGTTTAAACTCCAAAACCTTTAGGAAGCTATTTCTACTCCTCATAATTTTCCTGTATTCCCTTCTGTACATTCCCAATGAAGGTCTATGTCCTGTCTCTCACCAGTCTGATGCATCAGGGGAAATGTACCTAAGACTCTACAGATTTATAAGCCAGAGTAATTTGTTTATTCTGCATGTTTTCCTTTAAATGTCTATTTTGACACACAAATATGTAATAAAAAAGAGAAATACATAAACAATTACATTTGTCATTATGGACTTATACATAATTTTGAACCAGAGTTCACTAGCTATATTTAAGCTAAGAAAATCAGGTATTGCTTCTAGTTCAATGATTAGCAAAAGTAATATTCTCAAGGTAAAGTACTTTGTCAACTATTAAATACAATTTGGTATACCAGACCAAAGTAAGTCACATAACTATGCAAAATGTAATCTTCCTCCAAATTGAGCTACAGATGAACACAACTGGCTTCTAACAAAACAATTCACTATATAGCTGACCAAAGTCACTGTGTTGTTTTAAATTGAATGAATGTGGTATGCAATCAAAACAAAATAATTAAGTAATTTGTCCAGACTCTACTATTCAGCACTGACCTTCTCCCCACATTAGCCATTTTGCCATTTAGATGCACCAAAGGCAAGGGAGTCACTTTCATCAATAAGCATGTTTTCCAAGTTACCCTCTACTCTTTTGTAAATTATTCTTTTTAAAAAATTATATCCCTTTAGCCAGCACCTACATTCACCTTTGACATATTAAGAGACTGAAAGAATCCCAGGCACACCTAAACACATCACCTGATCTATTCTTGTAGCAACAAAGTGTTGTCACAATATTCTGGATTATTTGCATACTTGAAATGACAAGCAAATACATCATTTGTCATCCATACTTTACCAATTAAAGAGAGTGAATCTGTAGATAGCTATTTACTGCCTACAGAATACATTTTTGCAAAAACTAAATCTAGCCAGTACTGATATTGTGAAAATTCCATAGGTGACAAGACCAAAAAATTCAGCTTTCAAAATATTAATTAAAGACAAAGGTTTTAATCCCCTCTCAGAAGAAGGATTCTCATTAAACCTTTCTCTTCTGCCTAAATGATGAATGAGCTTTTTAATGAATTATTAAATTAAAAGACACTCTTCTTCATTCCCTTTTTGTAGAACTACTACTAAAAATTGTTTAAGTGGAACTTTTAATAAAGACTCTTTTTGCACCTTCAACATGAAGAATCTTACAGATATTACATTTTTAAAAAATCATACCTGACAGCCAGTCTAACCCAAATTCAAATGCCACTCTGCATTAAATGAAGCTGCAGCTGACTCGATTGGTCAGGAAAAAAACATACCATATTTAATAAAATTCCAGATTCTTGTCGTCGGTGTCCATAAAAACGCTTTGCAGTATTGGATATATGGTTTGCAAAAGCAAGCAAATCCTCCACAGTTCCATATCTGACTGATGACAACCAAGGCACATCTTGGCCACTGAGCAGCAGGGACTCTGAACGCTCCTCATTTTGATTGCTGTCTTGACACATGGTCATTACACTGGGTTTGTAAACCGCTGGCTCTTCACTTGCGTAAAGATTTTCCATAATGTCTATTACATCAGAGACATTCAAATGTTTAATTAATAAATCAATTTCTTCTTTATTGTCACTTCCAGTGCTCATGTACTCCATTACTGTTGTGCTTTCCAGAGTCTGCAAAAGAAAACAAATACTGTGTTTACCATATTTGTATTGGCATTTGAAATCAATGGGAAACTGACATAAAAGGATTGAGCTTCTATACGCCTTCGATTAAAAAAGGAGGGCTCTGTGTCTATAGGTGTGTGAATTTAAGTGGACAATTGAAGAAAGGGACCTTAGATAACCTTTACTCCAACTTGTTCGCTTGCAGAGGGGAAACCTGAGATCCAAACAGCTTATTCCTTACTCACTTACTGAGTTGATGGCATCAGCCATAGCCACTGAAAACAAACTTTCACTAAACATAAACAGGAATAAGAGCAGCTCAGGAATCCCAGGAATTAAGACTCCTGGCCTTTTACAGCTTCCAACCCCACTACTCCCCCAAGGGAGCAATCTTCCTGGCAAGGTTTCTGTGGCTTTTATGCATCAGGTGCCCTTAAAGAAAAAGAACTACTTTACCAAATAAAATTCAGGCCTTGAAGCCAGAAGCATGTAAAATGGATTTAAATTTAAGCAAATTGAGGACAGTAGGTCAAGTTTCAGGGATAATTCTAATGCAAATGACTTAAACAGTTCATTCAGACTTGGGACAAGCCTCAAATTTTCCTTCTGTCAGCAATGAGTATGAGAAAGGGGAAGAAGATTCTTTAATCTGTGAGTCAGCTGTCCTCTCTTTTCTTTTTTTCAGCTGTCCTTTCTAGAGACCAGAATTTTTTAAAATTTTCCTTTATTGTTTAAAGTATTACAAAGAGTAGTACATATGTCTCCTTTTTTCCCCATTGACCTCCCCCTCCCCAACCTCCACAACCACTCCCCCCCCCACACACACACACATGCCCTCACCCCCCTCAGTGTCTTGTGTCCACTGCTTTGATCTCTTAACCCCCCAACCTTCCCCTGCCTTCCCGCTTTAGTTTGACAGTCTGTTGGATGCTTCTTTGCCTCTATCTATTTTTGTCCATCAGTTTATAAACTTTATAATGTTCTTTATATTCCACAAATGAGTAAGATCATGTGGTATTTATCTTTCACTGACTGGCTTAGAGACCAGAATTTTTGAATAGTACAAAGCACACATCACAAGGTTCTAACAAGGTTAATTTAACATATAGATTAATGGCCCTCTAGAAGTTGTGATCTTACAAAGAGGCCAGGAAAGCCAAATTTATCATAAGCAAGACCTGAGTAAGGCCAACTAACTATATTAGCCACTACTGTATTTCATTTCTTATATACAAATCAGGTGCTACACCTGGGGATCTGCAAATGAGAAAAAGGAAAACCAGTAATGCTCAGGATTTTAATTCTATTCCAAAGAATTAAAGATAAAAAATGTTTAAGAGACCTAAGAGAATTTGGAGGTCAGTACGTCTACTTAAACTACTGTGTTCCTGAAAGCACAGCCTCTCTCTGAAGAGCACAAACCTTTACACATTCTACACTCAGTGCAAAAAAGCCAGACTTCCATTAACCTGGAGCTCCAGTAGGAAACACCAGGAAATGTTCCACAGGCAACTCACCACCCAGCTACTTGGCCTCTCAATAAATTTCATTTCAGGAAAGAACCACGAAATATACAGATGATGTATTACAGAATTGCACACTTGAAACCCATATAATTTTATTAACTAATGTCACCCCAATGAATTGAATAAAAATTTTAAAAGGAAAAGAACCACGCAATTTTGCATTGTCATTAACTTACTTCGCATTCATTTTCTAATGCATGAATTGTGGTAGGCAGTTAGACAGACAAGTTCAGAGGAAGGACAACACAGAAGGTCACCAGAGTGGAGAGCCTCATTTGCCTAGCAATGGGCAAAACTGGGAAAACAAGGACTTGGTCCCCAGAGCAACCTTGCTTCCCCCAGCATATCACTGGTCATGAGGTTTAGACCCTCTGATCTTCCATTTCGATGGTCATGTGGTTTGGACCCTTCCCGGACCTTTCCTCCCCTGGCATGTTGCTAGTCCTGCAGGTTAGACGCCCTTAGAGGGAAAAGAAACAAGGGGGCTGGAGAACAGCCCTTATGCATTAAGCCCCTAGAACAGTGATGGCGAACCTTTTGAGCTCAGCGTGTGAGCATTTTGAAAACCCCTAACTTAACTCTGGTGCTGTGTCACATACAGAAATTTTTTGATATTTGCAATCATAGTAAAACAAAGGCTTATATTTTTTATATTTATTTTCTATATTTAAATGCCATTTAACAAAGAAAAATCAACCAAAAAAATGAGTTCGCATGTCACCTCTGACACGCATGTCAGAGGTTCACCATCACTGTCCTAGGACAATGAGGCTCTGACCAGCATCAAATGCAATCTAGACCTCAGTTGTGTTTTAGCTCCAGGCCCCAAAAAGCAGCAAAACCAGACAAGTGACACCATGGCTGGCATCAGGACCAGCTGCATTGACTAATGATCCCTTGCCCTGATCCTGACCAATCAGTGGAGACCAATACCCTGAAAGGACCACACCTGGGAAGCTGATGACTATTGTATTGAATCTTCCCCTGGGACCTCCCCTAAAATTTCCACCCTTAAAAGCCCTTAAGATGGAGGATGCAGTGAGCTTTCCTTGGGCCTTTTCCCTCTCCTCCCCAGCTTCCCCAAACCCAGGCGTATTTTTTTCTTTGCCTCTCTTTCTAAGGTCCAAGGGCCCTTCTTTTGTCTCTGTAACTTATTTCTAGAGCCCATTTACTCTACCACTCGCTTCTTCTACCTCTGACTTCCGAAGTAAAATTTCTCTTAGTTTGAGACTTGGTTCTGAATTCTTTCCTAGCCAGAGCTCAAGTACTGAGGTTGCTGAACCAAGGCCCCCATCAGTCTCACACCTGGTGCCATTCTCACTCCTACCAACAAATTATGCCTCAAGAAAGAAAGCAGCATCCTGCAGTCTGACATTCTGTCTCAGTGGTTCTCACCTTCCTAATGCCGCAACCCTTTAATACAGTTCCTCATGTTGTGGTGACCCCCAATTTCATTGTTAGATATTGAACATAATTAAACCATAGTGATTAATCACAAAAACAATACGTAATTATATATGTGTTTTCCGATGGTCTTAGGCAACCCCTGTGAAAGGGTCGTTTGACCCTCAAAGGGGTCACGACCCACAGGTTGAGAACCACTGTTCTATCTAGACTTACATGGCTTGGTATCAAATATTGGCCCTTCTTTTATTGTCTGCATGAACTTGGGCTAATACTTTAGCCTCTCTGTACCTCAACTCCCCCATCTGTTAAATGGAATCATAACAGCACCTACCTCATAAGATGGCTGTGAGGATTAAAGGAGCTCATGTGCACAAGATGCTTGGTGCAAAGTCGGGTGCACAGTAAGTAAGCTGTATTATTTGTAAGTGCTATTGTGTGCATAAAAGACACAGGGACTGAGTCAGCCACCTGGCTCTGCAGATATTGCATTAGGCCTCCTTTCTTATCAGCAAATGGGATGTGGCTACCTAGTCCCCAGCCTCTTCACAGTAAGGTTTAAAGATTGTATCTAAAACAAAACACAAAGAAAAAAAGGCAGACCCTATGAAATACTTTGATGGTTGTTATCACCACAGTTACATCCAGAAAGCAAAGGAAGCTTCCTCTCAGAGAGATCTTGTACACTCTTGGAGTCTGTTGAGTTCTGAAAGGAATTGCTACAGTTACGGGAGGAACAATGGCCTTGGGTTTCATTGAGCCATTTAGTTGCAGTTTCTACTTGTAGAATTTACTGAAAAACAGAAGTTAAGACAAAAATAGCCTGACTTAGGACCCCACTGGCTGGAAAGTTCCAAGGCTGCTGGACTCACTTATCAAATGGCTGACTTGAGAGAAAATAAAGTTTTCAATAGTAATGTGACTCAAGAAAGAGGAAAAGTTCTACTCTATATAGTTTACTAGCCAGTCAGCAGATCCAAAGGGGAAAGACAATTATGGTTTTTAAAGCCTGCAGAAAGTCTCAAGTATTTATATGTAAAACCTAAGGCAGAGGTTAAATACATATACCCTTAAACTTTATGGTGGAGGCAGAGCAGAACAGGAGGGAGGGGGGAGGGAAGCAGGGTAGGAGGGCAGAGTGGGTGGAGGAGTGTATGACTGAGACTGTTTTCGGAGCCAGGCATAATTCCTTAGCAAACTCCTCTCACGCAAACCAATGCTCCCCAAGCAACCCCATGACCAGTCCGCCCATGAAATATCCCTGCAAAGAGCCTCAGCACTTTCCAGAGTAAATTAAGCAGGCAATATGCTAATGATTTCCAAGTTACTAATGATCAGTACCCATGTAGAAAAAGTGTAGATTGTGAAGGTATTCTACTTTAGCAATCAAAACCCTTCCCCACACAGTTTACAATAAAAATCCTCATAAAATTCCTACTTCTTAACAAAGTAAATGACTATGCAATGTTTAGAAATGGAAAGATGAACAAATACAGTCAAAATTATTTGCTTCAAATTATTTCAGAAATCATCCATAAAGCCAAAAGGAAATCCTATTTCTAAACATTAATGTCATGGCTACTTGCATAGTTGAAGGTTTCCTTGCAAGTGTGAATGAAAACGGCTAAGTTTATGGTCATCACTTCTGCCTAACAAAACATGATCATACCTGCGTTGCTTCCCATTTAAAAGATTTCTCTGCCAAACTAGCACATTGGCACTCAGGG